TTTGTATGTTTTGAATTCATTGTTTGTGTTGAGCCAAAATTCTTCACTTTCTTTCTGCTACTGTGTGTTTTTTAAATTATTTGATTTTCCTTTTTTAGAAATGTTCAAAGCATTTGACAAGGTCAGCTGTGCATGGGCTACACTTTTGTGCCCGTGTTTACAGTTTATTTGGAATTGAAGTAAATTGAATCTGGCAGAACGTGTGAATTGAAGCGTAGGAAACCTATAAAGCACTTTCAGTAAAAGTTCACTGAATAGAGAACTTCAGTCTATAGATATCACATTGTCACCAAGCGCAGGTCACATGTGATATCTGCTCTATTCATTCAGCATTCGTTTGCACAGTATGTGTATGCCGTACCTTCCAGGTGACTGAGACAAGAGAAGAAATGCTTCCTAGACAGCTATACGTCTTTAAGCATTCATCTACTTTCTCAAGGGTGAATCTTTCCGGCTGCAGTATAAGCAGTCAAATCTTCAAGGCGATCTCTATTAACTCAACATCTGTTCTACTCCACTAACAATATGAGCGTTTTAAATACAGAATAAAACCTATAAGCTTTTGAGTACATCGAGAGCTGCTTTTTTGTGAGGCGAGGTGTCACTGCATCAAGAGTTGAAGGTAATGATTTGTGAAATTAAATTTTGTCAGTAAAAAATTTGAAAATAATGTCAAATTAATTACTTTTAAATTGATTTACAGTGTAAATTCAGAAAACATCACTTATTTGATTAAATAAAGGATCTTTTATATATTGTTACAGCCCCAAACCAATTTTAGCTCATTCAATTTGAGGTAAGGACCGAACATAAATCACAGACATTTATAATTTGCTGAAAAAATATTGATATTATTTATAAATAAATGTTATAATATATTTTAATATATGATTTATTATAATATATTTTTATTCATATTTACATTATCAACAGCGTTTTATAATTCATAATAATATGAATTTACTGAACTTATTCTCAGCTCAGATTTTCATTTCTTGAGCTTGTTTGAACAAATCCCAACAGTAAATACATATTTTTGTGTGTTTGTATTACGGACATGAATAATACCTCAAATCCTTAAGCTATTTGAGCATTTTTAGGGAGAAGGTTGTTATTACTTGTCTAAATTATTAAACTTATGGAGCACTTCAAGTATTGTAGTACTTATGTAGTGTTGAAGTCTCTGACTTGTATTTTATGTTTACTTTTATTTTCTGAACAAATTGTGGATATCATCATACATCTGTTAATATTTCTAATTGTCAGCATTTCCAGCGTGCATTTCACCTTATATTATTTAGATATGCATTTTGTTTAATGTATCGAAAAGACATATTAAACATAGTGGGACCTCTCAAAATAAGTTCATATTAGCTCTATATTATATTAAGTTAATATTGGAGCACATTAAAAACTTATTTCATTTATTTTTATATACAAGGAATAATAAAAGATTTCAAGCCTGAGCTTTACAATTGATTTCTTAATCATTTTAGTGGCCTTCAGTTGGATAATTAAATAATTGGATAATTAGACGTTCTGCTTTTGGCACATGGCGCACTGAATAAATCATTGGCCCCAACAGGATCGTTGAACTGCACAGCGTGACTCCTGCATGCCGCCACACTGAATTTCAACCGACAGCTTCCTGTCGGATAATTATCAGGAAAATGTTACTGCTTTTTTCCTTCAAAATTTAAAGAATAGCCGTCAGGGTCACAATGGCAGGTTCTTCACAGATTATGATTGCTTTCTCAGAGACTGCGGCTTTTTTGTGGGTTAACTCCTTAAACAAACAAAGAGAAATGACCCAGTTTCTTCTGCCCCTCCCCAATTTGAATATGCTCGGAGTGAAATTGGATAAATGCATTTGAAATGTGGAGAAACTACTCTTTTAACACAACAATGGGCTGAAGAATGAGGGTGGGGGTAGGGGTAGGGTTGGGAACATTTTTTGGAGCGTCTTTTTTTTTTTTTTTTTGGTGTCTTTTGAACTGCTTGGTGCCGGATAAAGGGCGATCTACTCTTACCATCAGAGATGTTGCTACAGTGACTATATGTGTGTGTGTGTGTGTGTGTGTGTATTGAAGTAGGTGTGTTTTAGTCAATTGTATTCATTATATTGGTCAAGTTGTTCATTGGTTTGTTTTTAAACTCAAAATTAAGTTGTGTCTTGTCTTATGGCGCTTTTCCACTGCGTGGTATACGGTTCACTTGGAACCCCAACCGAGGTGGTACTAAAAAAAGTACCAGGTACCAGGTACTGTACCCAGTGGAAAACCCCAAAAAAGTGAACCGTACCGAGCCGTACCATGCAGTGGAAAAGTGCCATTAGTTGCCTTTGGCCAGGCTGTTTTGTAGCATCCGTCTCATGGATTGGCTCTACCAGATAGAGATGGTTGTAGTTGACACAGATTTCCCCTGAAGAACAACCCCAACCCCAACCCCCTTTCTGCCTCCCATGTATGAAGGATTGGGGGTAGGGAGTTGGCTTAATTTAGGGTTAAGATAAACCACGGAAAAAAGCATGCACCGTCTCCAATATGCTGATTTTAATGATTTAATGAAGGTATTTTCCTCCACGGAGAGAGAAAGCTCTTTTTTTCTAGTCTTTATGTAAGATGATATTGATCTCTTGGGTGGTGCTTAGTTCCTTAAAATGTTACAGAAGTCGTTTGGAAGACATTGACAACAGCTTAAGCCTTTAGGGAAGTGTATATTTGAAACCTAAATTAGCAACCAATTTAATTGTTTAAAGTAAATTAAAAAAAACATTTAAAAAGCAGTACAGTAAATTCTTGGCAACATTCACGAAGCCAAAATATTAACAAATGTTTGTAATAATAATTCAGAAGCAGTTAATATCCAAGTCCATTTTAAAGGGGCCAAATGTCAAGTGGTGTGCCTCAGGGTTCAGTACTCGATCCAATGTGTGAAAATCTCTAAACTGACATGCCGTCACCACAGCTAAAAATAATTCTAATGCCAAATTTCATCCTTTGCATAGAGACATTGTCACATGCATTTTGCGGCATTTTTATTTTCTTTCCTTTGTCTTTTTTCTCTCATATTTGTGTGTGTGTGTGTATTTTTTTAAAGCAGATTTAACTAAATGGAACATGGACATGACAAAAACATAGCATGAGGTTACTGTTTAAAAACCCTGATGTAGTTTATGGATTTAGAAATATGAGCAAAGCACTCCAAGTTAGGCTAATTTCTGCATTAGCAGTAAAAGCATGATTGTTTTTACAGTAACCGTTTCTTCTAGAATTTGTCCTTAAATGTATGCAGTTTGTTAGGTTAGATTTAATTACATTTTACATTGAACAGTTAGCTTGTGTGGGAAGCTTGCTTGGAAATAGTGTCCTTCAACCATCTGCAGAACTCAGACTCTGTACGATATATCGATCTTATCTACTGGTTAGATACATGGGTGCTTGTTGCCCAGTGAAAGTAAATTATTCATACATCCACTACACTATAGACTATTAATGGTCACCAGGAAGTTCAAACAAAAAGCTGCTGAAGTGACTCCCTGGTGTCGAATTGATTGGCTTGTTTCTGTACGTTCACGCACCCCCTCAATTGGACCTTTCCTCACCCTGATTGTTAAATTTTTGTGTATGTATGCAATGCATTCTTTATTTGGTCTTGGTGATTTAAGGTTGTGTAGTGATAGTGAATGAATGTTAGTTTTGTTGGGTTGAATGAGTCGCTCTTTTGTGGCGATATCCCACACAGTTCTCCTCCAACAAGCCTCTTGCACTAGTGCTTTTCATATTTAACTACACATCATATGAACAAGCACTGAATTTAATACAATTTAAGAATTTAAGCATTTAATACAAAACTCAGTATCACTTATAAATTCGATTTAATGAGTATGATTTCGTTTTTTTGTCAAAATTGTAAGTGTTTCTGAAATGTATTTGCAAAAACAAGTCTAACATAATGTTGTGCTTTATCACAAATATCTTTGCATTATATGTACAGTACTCAATCATTGTGTGCCCATGCAATTATCCACTAGAGCTTAAAAACCGCTGCAGTTTTAGCAGTAATGCTGTGCATTTAATGGACTGGAATGTTGGAACACTTTGAAGTGCTCATTTTTGTTTTCAAAGCCTCCTTTGTAGCCAGCAACAATTTGGAATGCATGCTTTATAAGCAAACTATAGTGGGAACAGCTGATGAATAGTGAATCGCACTAACTAAGCCTGGCGGTTTGTGTTTCAGTCAGAACGACAGCTGTATCCTGAAGGACAAAAACTTGTGATCATGTTCTTTTTAATCATTGCGACAGCAAAACTAAGGGCGCTACTGAACAAGCTGTAAGGATTTGCCTTAAACAATTCGAGAAAATGCCTCTATGATCCTTTCAAGTTTAAGTGTGTGGTTTAGACTAGAGAATGCACAAAAATGTTATTTCGTTCATATTTATTATTTTTATTATTATGGCTGCTATTATAAATCTATGGGTTTTTTCACTTTTGATTTTTGCTTTGCCTTTTTTCTTGATCATTTTTTTGTTGTTGTTTATTTAATTAGGAGATTGCAATGTGCTGTGCATTAGCTAGTATAGCAAGGTAAAACTCTCAAAAAGAATGCGTCTTTAAATTTGTTCCCTTTTTAAAGCACCAAAACTACAGGCATTCACATCTCGACATTCAGATGTCTGCATTGCATTTGATTTGTTTCCAAGATTTCCTTTCTAAGAATCATTACTATAAAACATTTACACCGAATAGGCTAATAATTCTCTTTTTTTGTTTCCCATTTTAGCAGATTCTTCAGGGTGTATTCATGCAACTACGCACTTGAGCCGGTATTTGCAGTTAATTAAATTGAGTGGCAGTATTAAATCGGCAAAGCATTGATTTAGTTCATAAAATTGAAAGCCGTTTGTGCACGTGTGGGGGTGGACGTGGGTGGACATGTGATTTGTACTTATAGACCTTCCACAGAGCTAATAAGAATATACCTTTGTTTTCTTCACAGGGTTCGAAAGCATTTTGGAGGGGCTGTTTGGACCAGGACTCGTAAAAGATCTTACCCTCTTTCAAGGTCAGTCTTACATTGGATACGATTGAGGTGAAGATTATACTGATGGTTACTTTTAAATTAGAATGCTATGTTTGCAGTTAACTTTTAATTACAGTCTAAATAATATCATATTTGAATCGTATTTTTTAACCTTTCTTGTATAGATGTTATTATTTTAACCTTGTCCCAGACTTTACATTTTAAATTATGAAAATCCATAAAAAACATGATTTACTACATATTTAAAACTATATTTTAAATTGCAGTAATTTCCATAATTTCCAATTAACATGTAGTTTTGTCAAACTAATTAATTAAAAAAATAACTAATTTAAAAAAACGAATTTACAAACTAATTTTTAATAATGTTATTACGTTATTAATGTGTTTAAGGTCAAATATAAGTTTGTACAATGCCAGCTATAAAAGTAGCCTGAGCGAGACAAAAAAGTTGGCGGCTTTTAAATGTTGAAACTGTCATTTTAATCTCAGAATGCTTTAAACATAATATGTAATTTGAGATATGGTGGAGTTAGTAAGTAAAACCTAAATAAAAATACGGATAATCCACTGTGGAGACTCCTAACAGGAGCAGCCAAAAGTGAGATGTGTAGGGTGCGTCTCAATCAGCTCCCTAGCTAGTGAATTAGTATATCGTGTACATGAATCTGGGCACTGGTAAGGACCCTGGCATACTACATATTGGACAGTGATTACTCAATTTCCAGTGACATGACTACTTACAGCATTGTAGAACATCACCACTAGTATTAATCAACAACAGGCAGATATTATTTTTCATGCTTTTTAAACGCATTGCTCTGTAACATATCTTTTCAACAGCCGAATATTAATTATAAATGTTAACTAGATGTGTTCGCTACCTGTCTAGCGATGTGTTTATGCTTTTCAAATCTTCTATCATGTGTTATTATATTTATTGTGTTGGCTTATGCATTTTATGTTTCACGCTTCAGAAATGTGATCTAATTTATGGTAAGGGAGCATAGTGAGCATCTACAATTCTCCCTTGTTTTTGCTGTGCACTATGGGTTTTTTCAGGGAGCAAATGTTCCAGTGCACTGGAAGGATTATACGAATAAGACAGCCCTAAAAATGGCCGACTCCCTGATCAGTGCTTTGACTACTGAACTAGGGAGGTGATTGAGATGCACCGCTGGACTTCTCAAATGATTAGAGTTTTGATAGTGACATTGGCTCTAAAAAAAGATCACTTGTAAGCACATGTGCACAGATACAGCTTAAACCATCATATTCATCTGCACTGTACAGCTGAGTCGAAGCCCAATTTTTATTTTGCAGTTTTATACCTAAACTGTTAAATGGCCAAATCTTCTTTACTGCACCTTTAAAAAAAACTAATTTGAGTATGAAAAGTTTTTTTTTTTTGTAAACTCAAACAAAATTGCTCATTTGAAAAACATCCAGCTTCTGTTTTTGTTCTGGAGTACCACAGGGCTCTATTCTAAGCCCTTGAGTCATTTTGTAAATTCACAATATATGAGGCATCAATCTAATTAGCAGATCAACCAGAAAATGTTTAAATTGTCTGTTTCTTAAGGTGTATACAATTAACTGTTAAGTCAGAAGAACCATTCATGAGCTTAAATCATCAAAACTAAATTTAAACATGAATATAAACATGACCTAAGTGGTTTGCTCTTTTTTTCAGAACTTGAAGTGCAAATTAAAACTTCACACAGTGAACATTTCTATGTTGGAGAAAAAGGTCATGTTTTTGTTTTTCCAAAGCTTTGACTTATGTTGGTAATTATTTATCAAGATAAATACTTCTTTTTGCAAAAACAGTAACCTAAAATTCACACAGCCACAAATTAAATGGCCTTCAAGATGGAAGTGTTAATGCACTTTAAAAGTTGCTCAAGTTAATAATTTATACACAGATCAGTACAGGTTAGTTCTGGTTATTCATTTTCTTTGATAACAAGTCATCATCTATTTGCTTCTAACAGATGTCACAATATTACTTTTTATAGTCATAACGAATATGCCCATATAAGACATCTTTACCTTTCGCATACCTGGAGTAGTCAAGAATGGAAGATTGTCTCGTCTCATTTTGCAGTCAATAGGACAAGAGACGGCAACTTCTAAAAATAAACGAAATATCCTTGTCATGTGATTGTTAGCTAGCGGCTATAATCAGACACAGCATTAGAAATAAAGTCTGTCAAAGATGATAACAAAGAAAAACATTTAAAGGGATCATATATGGGGTCAAGATTTAACACTTTAATTTCCCCCCAAGGCCCGCTTATGGTAGTCAAGGTTACTTACACCAAAAACCATTGTAATTTCATTTCTCATGAACATTTGCACATGACTCCTGTCAGTGTTCACCAATACATTAGATGAGGTCTTCCTTTGAGGGCTTTTCTATGCAAATATTGATATGTGGGTTAATTTAAATATTTTAAATCAGTTGACACTAAAAATGTACGTAGTTCAATATTACAGTTTTTGCATGTAGTTCTTACATTTAAGCATTTTGAAGGTATTTTGAAGCAATTTCAATGGGCGTTTGGTCCGAATGTAAAAAAAAATACATTAATATTTAGATTATTACTGAGAATATTGAGTAAAGTAATCAGATATGAGGTATAACAAAAAAATATCTCTGCGTGGAAATAACCGGCGGATGATGTTTTTCTGAAATCTTCTCGAAAAGAGCAAGGCTTCTTTCTTTATATTTTATTATTTTTAAATATTATAATATTTAAAAAATATAATAAATAACATAGTATGTGGGCAAAAATATTATTTGGGATGCTACTGAAAATTGTCAGTGCAGGAAAAACACAGAATATTATTGTTTTAAAATGCATTATTATTAATAATTGGCCAACATGTTTGTTGTAATATGTGGCAAAGTGTATTTAGTGTTTGTTTGTAAAAGAACAGCACAGTTAAAAATCTTTTTTTTTTCTTGCAGATTGTGAGCCAGAGGGTGTGTCAGATTGGTCGTTTAATGAACATTGTCTCTTTTGCTGCTTGAGACGGGAAAAAGTGAAGGTAATTAATCTCGCTCTTATTTTCCTATCGATATATTTCCACAAACAATGCATTAGCAATTTTACATATCACATTGAGTCATTAAATGTTTTCAACCATGCAGCACTTTAAAGATGTTTGTTGTCGCTGGGTCATCGGTGTTGAAAGAAAAAATGCTCATTAACGCTTTTAATGTTTACCAGTCAAATGACAGGTAATTATTATTCTAACTTAAGTTTTTGTTAAGCTATTACTTGACAACACATCTTCAGGTGTGACAGATGGACTGTGAAGGAACTACAACACTGTCAATCATTTGCCCTGGGGTTTTCTTTACAACAAACCTCAAACAATAAATCAGCTTTACTCTTTCTTTGAAATTGAACAGCTTTTGTATTCACAAATTTGCAGGCATTTTTATAGGAGAACAATATGACAGGTAAATTGGTACAACATGGTCATATTGCACTGACTTCCTATCCAGTTTTCAAGTGAAAAGACTATAAGTAAAATATATATATATATACATTTTTTTTTCCTCTAGGATAATTTGGTTGGTTTGAACAACCAAGTGTTATCAGAAGCGGATAGCTTCAAGCAAGAGCAGTCCAACATTAACAAACTTGAGAAGCAAGCAGCGGATTTCCTCAATGTTGTCTTCTATAGAAAGGGTAAGACTTACATTATATTGTACATTACAAGAGCTGAAACCAAAGTAGTTACACTGGGAAAAACAATACTGTGTATTTTTGTATTTTTAATATAAAATTCAAATAGTTATGACATGGCAAAAATCCATTATGAAATAACTGACACTTACTAAAAAACCTTGCAACTCAATTTAAATCAAATTAAATTTCACTTTTTTACATTTTCATACACGCACAGATTATGCACACAGCATATGTATATGTCCAAGAAAAGTGCTTTGATGTTCAGATGTTTTCAGTCTTCTGTTTCTCTTCCTGACCGTGTATATTTGATGTTTTTTACTCTAAACGAACATTAGGAAGCGGTCTTTCCTTTTTGGAAGTCTGCAGGACTTTACTGCCCTGTAGGAAATGTTTTCAAAGGCTTGTCTGCCAAATCCAGTGGCTTTGATTTAAACAATGGCACTAGCCACATGTATTGTGAAACAGTTTAATGATGCAGTGTTATAAGATATAAAATTCATAAAAGAGAAAATCTGACGAGAAGTACTTTTTTAGTCAAATATTAACTTATTCATGTTCACCTGGCTGTTCAATAACAATATTGCAAAATACAAGATATTTTTTTCAAATGTGTGCAAAAAAAAAGCAGGATTATTATAGTTAACTAATACTAAAACCATTTAAAAAAAACAATTTTGTTACTTGAAATAAAATAAACGTTAACTGAAATAAAATATTTTAAAAAACATACTTATTTCAGCTAGTTGCCGAAGAAACAAGACTTATTTTCATCTAGTGTAACTTGATAAACTAAAAAGGAAATAAAAATAAAAAACCTAAATATAAACTAAACTAAAATATAATGAAATAAAACTGAAATAAAAATAAAAAACAAACTAAAATTTCAATAAAAATCCTTAAATAAAATGTATCTTTATTTGACCCTCTAACTCTAGCACTCTCTATTCTAATTCTATTCTTAAAAAAACACTTGTCCCTTTTAGACTTGCACTCTATTCATTTGCTGCTTGTTTTCTGTAAAAAAAAAACTAACACTTGCTTTCTAATCTTTAGAAAGGAAAAAATGAAATCGCATCATATGACCCCTTTAAAAAACCTTTGCTACGTGTACTGTGTTAAGCTAGCTGAGACTTGTTATAGCACTTGCATATTATTGCTCTTTTGTTGATTTTGATTGCTTCCATTCTCCTCATTTGTAAGTCGCTTTGGATAAAAGCGTCTGCTAAATGACTAAATATAAATGTCTAAATGTAAAATCTAAATTTAAATGAATAAAACGTAAAAAATTAATAAAAATGAAAAGAAAAAAAAAAACCACAACAAAATTACTAAAACTAACTAAAATTAAAATGTAAAATATATATTAAAAAAAACTAATTCAAACTATAATAATACAAAAATTGCACTAATGTGAAGTGTGAGCAGTAAATATCATTGGAGTGATCAAAATGTTTGGAGGATAGACTTTTATATTTTGTAGCTAAAATCTATTCGCTGTATCTTCAAAAAAACAAGTAATATATACACTATAACGCATTCATTGGCTCATTCCTTCATATATTTTCCCTCAGCAGACCTCCCGAGATTTACAGACCCCCACATTCCTCTAGTGGCTCGTGAGATCATGCAGCGAATGATCCGACAGTTCGCTGCCGAATATACCTCAAAAACCAGCTCAACTCAGGACGTACCCCAACCCCAGTCCCAGCCCAACGGCACCAAGGACCAAAGCCTGCCGAAAGCGCCCTCGCTGGAGCCGGACACCTCCACACCTGGTGCCGGCGCCGCTGCCTCCGCACAGAATCCCGTCCTCAGCAAGCTTCTCATGGCAGACCAGGACTCCCCACTGGACCTCACCGTCAAGAAACCAGAGACAGAACCCAGCGAACAAGGTGACATACAGTTTTGCTCATATTTATTGTAGTCTATTTTGCTGTATTGCAGTATGCAGAAAAATATTTTCTTTTTAAAAATGTCGAAAAATCCTTAACAGGATTATATTTCAGAAGCAAAAAATGTTTACAGAAATATGTTTTCTGAAAACATTATTTAGGCAACTGAAAAATGTAAATATATATTTTTAATATTTTGCCTCTATATAATTAAAAATAAACAAGGCAGGTCTTCTACTTGATTAAAA